ATTATTTGAAATAGTATTTCACATAAGAAAAGTTGGATGTAAACAAACAATATGAAAACAGGCTAGGAAGTAAGTTTTCATTCAGTACATTTTTGTTGTTGTGAAGCAATATAAGAATTCAATAATTTTCTCTCAAACTTTGATTATTCATATCAAATTTTATAACATAAGCTTCTACTAGAAGTTTGACTAATTCAATGATTTTATCAAATATAAATATCTAAAACCCAATAGTTATATATTAAAGCCAAACAATTGTCAGATATTGTCAGGCTATAATAATGCTATTATTAATAATTAAATGTCAAGTTATTTGGCCTATAGGTAGACATTAGGCATCATCTCATGATAAATATTTAATAAAGTAGAATGTTTTGGAAGAAAATTTCATTAACAAAGATTCACAGAAGTGTAGGTAGCCAGTCATTTTCAAAGAAATGAAAAATCATATTGGACTATTGTAAAACAACCACTTCACACCTAAGCGATAATTCCAGCAAACAAACAATAAAAAGGTTTAATGTTCAAACGTTTTCGGCCGTCTTTCAAAGGCCCTTGTCAGGAAAAATTGCATAGAACAGAAAAAACAGCTCTATCTTTAACAGTTTTTGTTTGGAACCATGTTTCTGTGCGCTAAGAGATTTCTTTCTCACCGCCACACCTGACGTCCAGAGATTCCAATCCCAAATATTAGAGCTGATGCATATAATATGCTATTCTTCCTTTTTCTATTTTCATGGTCAAACTTACATCCAAAAAAGAGGAGTACCGATGGGTAGCCCTATCTCGGGATCTGTGCGAACTCGTCTTACGTAAATTAGAGGAAAGTCTTAGTGAGCTTACAACACAATATCCTTAGCTATACGTGGTATGTAGATGATATTTCGATTATATGGAAAACCAAACCTGATATAGGAGAGGTGTTAAAAGTTTTTAACAACAAAGCCTATGGCCTAACACTAGAATTAGATCAGGAAAGTCGCACAGAGGTTAGATACTTGGATGTCAAGATTAGTATGGCGAATAAAAATATAACCATATCTATTTACCGCAAACCCACATACATTCCCCTCTTTATACCTGCTAAATCAGCAGACCCTTGGCCTTTTAAGGTAGCGGCTTTCCGGGCTCTAGTTGCTAGGGCTTTCTCCCATTGCTCGGACACTTCTGATACACATATCGAACTGAAATGCATCAAGTCCATAGCATCTGCACACTGGTACCACCAGTCCTTAATAAACAGGCTCGATGCCAACCAGCTATCTACAATAACTTCCACCAACACGAGGCTTAATGATGCAGAGTGCAAGCAGGTGGTTATATCAATAGCTTACGAACCGTCCTTCTAACAAATTTATAATAGAATTGCTAAGGATTTAAACTTGCACTTAACTTATAGGAGAAAACAGAACATTTTTAGAATCTTATCTAATGCAAAAGACAAGTCTGAGGACAAGAAAGTGCCAGGAGTGTACCGCATTCCATTGCAAGACAATCGTTTCAATAGGCGTATAACATATGTCGGGTCCACGTATCGATCTCTAGAAGCTAGAATATGAGCCCACAAGTATGATGTGTTCAAGGGGAAGTATAATACTGCATACTAGCCCAGTATGCTACTGAACCCGGGGTTTCTCCTTGTTGGGATGAAGCTATGCTTTTACACAGGGCGTTTGACCGACACGACTTACGTTCGTTGGAGGCTATTGAAATTTTTATAGCGTGCATGAAGGAAGGTTGCATTAACTCCGACTATATTCCTGTTCCACAATCGTGGAAGTATTATTTACAAAGCCACAAAGCATAATTATGATTTTTTAAAGGAAACAATTTTTCCCTATCGCACATCGTTTATACATTAAAACATCGGGCTAACTTTTAACAATGAATATATTATTACCACCATATATATTATTTTATATATGAACACCATATATATTATTATTGTATTTATTTATAACTTTATTTATAAATATTTTAATTATATGTTGTAATACGTAACGATTTTTGTTTTCAACATCGTTTAAATGTTAAAAATTAGAACACAGCTATGTTCGAAAACTGTTAAAGATAGAGCTGTTTTTTCTGTTCTATGCAATTTTTCCTGACGAGGGCCTCTGAAAGACAGCCGAAAACGTTTGAACATTAAACCTTTTTATTGTTTGTTTGCTGGAATTATCGCTTAGGTGTGAAGTGATTGTTTTAGTATATATTTCCAGTTTGTGTGTCAGTTCTGATGGACTATTGTAATTTTTATATGGAATTACTATTACTTGTTTCTTTTTTTCAATTTATTTTATTATTAATTTTCTTATAACTTAAGCTTATAAATTTAAAGTTAGAATGATTATCTGTACTGAGCAGCATTGCAGAAAATTAATTGTTTTTTTTTTTCAAAACCATGCAAATATGAGTGATAGTTAAACATGAATATACTAATTATTGTTACATATAGTACATTTATTGTCCATTACAGTATTACATTTAACATTTAATAATTATACAAGGTCTGTTCAAAAAGTATCGGACCTTTTTTTTTTCGCGTAAACCAATGATGCGCGAGAGGCCTCCTTTGGTGGAGTTGTAGAGGGGACAGTCATGCACAGCCCTGAATTTTTTCCCGCCTGCAGGAAGCGTCAGTCGTTGGCAATCGGCCTATGAGTGAGGTCATGTAGTGCACTCTCGTCGGATTCCACTAAGCTGGAAAATGACTGAACAACGTGAGCAGCGATATTACATCAAATTTTGCCAAAAACCTTGGCGATACCCGAGCGTAAATAATTCGCAAGATTCAGCAGGCTTTCGGGGACGATCCTCGAGGCCAAAAAAAGCGCGGCAGGTCTGCAGCAATATCAAAGGTCGTGTTGACAGTTTTTTCGACTCTCGTGGGGTGGTGTGTCGTGAGTACGCACCACAAGGCCAAACCATCGCAAAGGAGTACTACCAGGAGGTCCTTCGTCGTCTTTCCGATACAGTGCGACGCAAACGACCGGATCTGTGGTCGATCAAAACTTGGCAGCTCCATCGTGATAACGCATCCGCCCATTCTGCGCATCTGATTCGGGCTTTCGTCGCAAAATTGACTTGCCATATTCTTGGCAAGTCAATTTTGTTCTATTATTTTTGTGCCTGCCACAAATATTAACAAATGTCAGGTTTTACTATCTCTTGGAATAGCTGATCATTGCTTTTATATTTTTCCAAAATATGCAAATTTCTTTAGGAGGTGTATTGTAGATCTTTCTTTCAAATGTTCTTCCATCAGACTTAGGGCAAGTTTTTTTATAAAAACTCATCTTCTATCTCTATTTTTTGGATTGTTAAATTTAAATATAATAATGGAATTTATTCCAGCAATATCAAGATGTTGATTAAAAAAAAAAAAATTTGTGACCATCCCATTGTGATTTGGGAAGTGGTGTAGGATGAACACATCTATGTCTACTCCTCCATTAATAGCATTGTAGTCCAACTTAATCACAGTATTGTTAATTTCTTGATTAACTTCAGAAGTGTCATGCATAGTGGAAAGAAATATTACTGCTTTGTTCTTTTTAGGTACTATTGAAGCAATACAGAAATCATACTGGAAACCAAATAGACCTGATTTCCCTGGTTTTGTTTGCAAGGATTTCTGGAGATATTTCATTCTTCTTGTTCTTCACTGTTTCCAGAAATGTAAACTCTTTTTTCAATAAATCTGTGGCCAAAGGATAGCTACTATAATAATTGTCAGTAGTAACACTCTTTTTTTTTCTATTGGCATGCCTAATCTTTTCACAATATTATCAGCCTTGTTTGATTTTTGGTAGGGCCCTTGCATCTGTTTCCCAGAATAAATTTCAAAATTAAGAATATAGAAAGTGTTGTCATCACAAAGTGCATATATTTTTATGCTGTTTTGAAGGATTAGGAATGTACTTCACAAAACTGCAGCATCCTCCGAAAGGATGAAGTATCTTGTCAATTGTGACAAATTGACAAGATACTTCATCCTTTCGGAGTAACTGTAACTGGTTAGACAATTGTTGACAAATTCCTCATGAAATTCACTGATTGGTACAAGCTTATCAGTTGCATTTTGTTCCTCCTTAGTATCCAAGTTGTCAAATTGAAAGACACACAGCAAAAACTGAAAACATTTGTAATAAAAAGTTTCCATAAAATAATCATTTCTGTATCATCTGAAGACCAGATCTCGCAACAATTAGTGTGACTACCTTTTTTATACCAATCAAATACACTTTTCCAAAAAAGGCTTTTATTTCTCTCTTAGTTGTATCTTTTCAATCTCTCTTCAGTACTTGATATCAGCTCTTATTTTTTGAATATATCTATTGGTATTATTTACGCTTTCACCAATCATTCAATCAGTGATAAACAAATAGAATGCATCTATTTCTTAACTTGTGTTTTTGGCAGTAACTTTTGGCCCTGGAAGTATTTTCAAAATGGTTTTTACCTTTGTTTTACCAGAAAAGAAAGATTTATTTATTTACAGAGTTTCTTTGTCTTTTTGTATGAAAAAAATGATAATCCTCTTTTTCTTTCTGTCCTCCTCCATTCTTGTCTTATACAAATAAGTCATCAATATCCTTGGCCAATTGTTTAGAGCAACGGTTCCCAACCTTTTTCGGGTGGTGACCCCCTTTTTATAAAACCCAAGTGACCCGCGACCCCCGATACAATTGAAAAAGGTATTTTAATAAGGTAATTAAAAAACAATGAAATTAGTTTTTTAGTATAATTTTATTTTAAATTATGTTTAATAATTAATTTAATGAGATGGTTGAAATTGCATGTATTATTAACCAGCNCATATAGGTGCCTAATTTTTTCAACTCATTCCGCTTTGTGGACACTTTTTTTTTCTCTTTTCTTACTGTGGGCATTTAGAGGGCCTCTTTTATCAAGCCCATTATGGATTCGGCCAGGCCCACAATGGGGCAGCCGAATGATAAGGGACGGGGCCTATATATCCAGTCGGATCACCCCCGAAAAATTTTTAGGAGGATTTTTTCGACCCCTCTGGATTCGATTCCGGGATCCTCAAAACGGTAAGCAACCACCTTCACTGCTCGGCCATCCGGCCGTCTAACCCTTGGGCACTAAAGGATCTTTATTAGCAAGCAAGCCCATTATGGGTTCGGCCAGACTGACAATGAGGCGATCGGGTGGTGAAGAAGGGTGACCAATGAACCACCCCCGAAAAATTCTTGGGGTTTTTTGACCTGTCCGGGTTCGATTCTGGGTTCTTTAGAGCTGTAAGCTGTCATTTTTACCGCTCTGAGTTAATGTCTGTTAAGTAACTTCAACCGACAATTACATCAATAATATTGTCTGTCTTCCACAAAAAAGAGCTGATATCATTTTTTAAAATTCTAATCTAGAATAATTTTGGATATTTCTTATAGAAACAAGGTTTACATAGAAAAATTTGTTTACTTTTTATATCATTGTTATATCTACAAGTGTTAAATACTGATTCCTGGATTATATCCAATGATATTTGAAATAAACATCAAGAATACTATACACAAAAGAATGAAACAAAATCAATTTACGTGACTAAAATTATTTTGTAAAATATAATAACAATTTTTAAATAATTACTATTTGCCAAATAAGAAATGATGACATAATTTTGTAATGCTGTATGCAAAAATAAGATTAGCTATTTTATACTAAGAGAGACCTTCTGCCTCAGAACTCATTTTCTTGACAATTGAATAACAGCTTCGTTCTTTATCCAATGGACCAATCCACTGTGGACCAGTCATTCAAAATGGATAGAGCAATGTATGTAATTTACGTAATCCTGTTCTATTTGCAAACTCCCGAACAGGGCCGTGCGGTAGATTTTCTAAGTATGATGCAAGTCTTCGAAATGCCGCCCCTTATATGTTTTTTTGCCGCCCTTATATAAATTATTAGTCTTATATAGGCTATAATTCTTATTATTTGGTGTATCTTACCAGGGCCGTGCAGTAGATTTTCTATAAGTATGATGCAAGTCTTTGAAATTCTACCTTTAAATGTTTTTTATGCCGCCCCCTCACAGTGCCGCCTGATGCAGCCGCATCTCTGCGTCATAGCACGGCACGGCCCTGCTCCCGAATCGCTGATTCCGGAAAATTTCCATTACAGAAGTAAAACATTTCGAGATATTTGTTTTTTTTTTTTCTAATTTTCAACAATATCAGAACGCTGTCGCTAATTCTTTGCTATGTTTTAATATGTAACCCAAAAGTTGATCATCTTGTCAAGTAAATACGATAAGAATAGGCCTTCACTAACAAGTGCAAAAATTTTAAAATTTTTGCCAAATTTTTATAGTCTTCTGGTGAGTCTGAGAAAGTTGGCGACCTAGCCTTCTCTAGGTCTATATACATTTCTCTCATTTCGTACTTCGTAATATAACCTTCACATAAATTATTAAACTTCTTACATCAAATTAATTTAATTGGAATAATTAGATCAGACAGTCACAGGATAAAGGATCGGATGACCAACGGGAAAATTTCCGACCTGGGTCCTTCAGATTGCCTCTCAGAAGAACCTTGGATAACTCAGAAATCTTTATGACTGCATTTTTTTTTCAAACTTTCCGCCCTGTAGACACTTAAGAAGATTTCTTTTTAGCAAGCTCATTATGGGTTCAGTCAGGCTCACAATGGGCGGGCGGACGGTGAAAGACGGGGTCAGACATATCCGGACGAACCATATACCGAAAAATTCCTGAGAATTTCAACCCGTCCGGACTCGATCTCATGTCTCTCAGAGCAACAGGCTGCTACCTTAGCAACTCGGATATCCGGCCGTCTCATGGGTGCATTAAATTAATGACGAGACCGGATAAGTTGGGCCTGACTTTAGCCACACGACACCTCCATTATATAGGTGATTGAACTCGTTAACGGGAGGAATTGTGGTCGGTTCTTACATTGATAAATTGATTCTTGGTCGAACCAGAAAGAAATGATAAAAAATAATATGTAATTTAATAATATTAAAATAAATTAATTAATTGGTAAAATTTCTAAATGTTTTTATTTATACAAAATTTATTATTTTTGGGCTATATTTGAACAAGATATATCTAGAAACTATTGCTATTAAGCACGTGGTTATGTTCTAAGGATTTTGAGTAGAAAGGTTAGTGTTAAGTTTTATGATTAATAAATTTGAAAATCTTTACGATTTTTTAAATATCTTTTAATTTGAATAATATGTAATAAATACCTAAATATTGATAGATTAAGATCTATTTATGTTCTTGAGATATCTTTCTCTGAATAGTAAATTGAATGGGTAGAGGTTAAGCATAAAAGGTTTTGTTAGAACTTAGTCGCATTAGACATCCTATCTGTGGATAAGAAATTAGATTTTCATTTTTTGTATTTTACCCTCCTACACAGTGTTTTTACTAATGTTGACAATATTTCTAATATCCCTAATATTTTTGTTTTTATTGTAGAGGATATTGTTATCCAGTGATCCCCTGCTTTCAATTAAAACAAATACAGTATTTAACTCACAAGAAGATTAGACATTCGGGTCTCTAATTCAAATGAAATTTTGATTAGCATGTAGCCTTAATTAAACACAAACAGCTCCTTGTCCAAATATTAAGGGGACCGGAAAGTAATAATGTTTTTTTACATTAAATTCAAACAAATAAATTTTTAACTTGGTTTTTATTTTTAATCAATGATGTAATCACCCTTGTTATCAACAACCTTTTGCCATCTAGTGTGCAAATTTTCAATGCTGGATCAATAAAAATCAATTGGTTTTTTGAGCAAAATATCTGGAGATGGCATTTTGGATATCATCCAAATTTTCAAATTTTTTGTTTTGTAGAAAGTGTTGTAGTGATTGGAATAAATAGAAATCTGATGGTACAATGTTGGGTGAGGCAGTACCTCCCACCCCAATTTATTAATTTTTTCAGGGTTTGTCTTGCACAGTGCGGTCTTGCATATTGTGTTGCAGCCTTTTCCGTTGATAATTGCTGGCCACTATTCAATTAAAGATTGATTTACTTGATCCAATTGTTCACAGTTTGCCCAGGTTTCAGCACTTCAAAATGAACAATTTCGTGAATACTCCACCAAACACACAAAAGTGCCTTTTTGGGATGTAAACCTGGCTTAGCAGTACTTCATGGGAAATCATTCGGACAGAGCCACTGTCTTTTGTGTTTTGGATTATCATAGAGGACTCATTTCAAGATCAAGCGATCAAAAAATGCTTCTGTATTGTGTCATTGAAGCAATAAGTTGCTTACAGTGGATCGGTTAGCTTTGTTTTCTTTGGACAGATTATGCAGGACCCAAACACCTGCTCTGCATACTTTACTAATCTGTTGCAAATGTTCTTGGATGGTCAACCAAGGTTGGTTAAGAGTGTTTGACAGTTCCTCAATTGTCTGACTTTGACACAGATTTGCTTCCACTTCTGCCCTTAAGATGTTATTGTCTAAAGTTGTTGGTCTTTCTGATTGATACATGTCAGAAAGATCAAAATTACCAGATCTGAACTTAGAAACCACCTTTGGCATTTACGAATGTCTAATGCACTTGGATAAATATCACAAATGTCTTTGGTAGCAACTGTTGCATTACTACCCTTGTGAAACTCAAAAAGCATACAATGCCAGATATGTACCTCTTCTGGTATTTGGCTAGTCATTTCACCCAAAACTGCAAAAAAAATTTAAGATTTAATTATTTACAAGTAAACAAGTCACTTTAACCTTAAAATATCTTTGGTATGGCTTTGAAGTACACAATGAGCTGATAAATGATAAACAAATATTGATATGTGCAGAAATGACATTACTTTCTGGTCCCCCTAATAATAGAACCCATTTCTCAAGTGTTTCCCAAAATTGGGCCTTTGAAAATTTAGTGTTTGGCTTATAAGTCTTTGAAAGTTTTACATCTCTGAGCAGCGATAGTCAAATAGATAAAAGTGCTAGGCACTGGAGCTAGATGATGTAGATTTGAACCACTGGAATTTTAGTTTAGCTTTTTTTTGTGTGTGACATTATTATTTTACTATTGCTGCTATATCTGTTATTATTCCTTAAAGTTATAAAACAAGAAATTAAAAATTGTGATGTCATTTCCTGTTTAACTAAAACAAGGGTTGTGAATGTGTCTCTTTAATTTGATTTTCAGTTCGGTAGACTATCATATACAGCTTTCAGGTTATGAACTTCTTTTATTGGTTACAATGTATTAATGTGTATATGTATTTAACAGGTACAACGTATTAATGTGAATATGTATTTGAAGTGTTTGTAAATGGCTGTATTTTTAAACTCTTTCCAACGTTACCAATTATACACCGGGGGTTTTTAGAAAACAGAATCTGAGTTTGTACTGAAGAGGGACTTAAAATACAAATGAGTCCGAAATGCATTTGACAAACCAATAAAAGAAGTTCATAACCTGAAAGCTGTATATGATAGTCTACCAAACTGAAAATCGGATTAAAGAGAGACATTCACAACGAAAATAGCAGCTGCCATAAGTGATTTTCTGTAAAACAAGGGTATTAATTAATATTTTTATGATAGAGATAGGTGATTGAAATATTGTAATTTTATCTTTTTCAAATTTTTAAAGTATTATATCATAGAAATTTGAGAGAAATTAAAATTTGTATAATACGTAATGTTTTATAATTTAAGAATTTTTATTATTTAATATATTAACTAAAATTTTGCTTTGTGTACATTGTATCTTTTTAACACACCACCAACTGATAGGATATGACATCATTGGCTGACTTCTGTAGAAGGTCAGTGACATTTTGGAGAGGGTTGTGGCTCATTGTGCAGAACAAAAATTTCCATTTTGTTGCTGTTTCAAGTTTCAGTGTGTGTGTAAGGGTTGTGTAGGTGTAGGGGTGTGTATATGTTTATGTATAATGAACCTAGATATATTATTTAGTTAGAAAAGAAAAAAATGTGAGAAAGGCAGACACATAGCTAAAAATATAGTTATAATGCCACTTACATAAATTTGTATTTTAATTTTATTAAATAATTAATTAGCACCCAATTGGAGAAATATTTGAGCAATGTTGATTTCTTAAATTGTACTTATATATATTTTCATGGTTAAATATATATAAATTGTGGGAATGGTACAAAAACAAATTTGTTGATTAGTAAGACTGCTTTAAAAATAGAAAAGAATTATATTGAGAACATTTAACAATTTTTATTCAAATTGTGATATGTTATATTTTGATATTAGGCTTTATGAACTTATTGTTTCTAATTAATGCTGAATATTATGAAATAATGCTAGCTTGAATTATTTGAAATAGTATTTCACATAAGAAAAGTTGGATGTAAACAAACAATATGAAAACAGGCTAGGAAGTAAGTTTTCATTCAGTACATTTTTGTTGTTGTGAAGCAATATAAGAATTCAATAATTTTCTCTCAAACTTTGATTATTCATATCAAATTTTATAACATAAGCTTCTACTAGAAGTTTGACTAATTCAATGATTTTATCAAATATAAATATCTAAAACCCAATAGTTATATATTAAAGCCAAACAATTGTCAGATATTGTCAGGCTATAATAATGCTATTATTAATAATTAAATGTCAAGTTATTTGGCCTATAGGTAGACATTAGGCATCATCTCATGATAAATATTTAATAAAGTAGAACGTTTTGGAAGAAAATTTCATTAACAAAGATTCACAGAAGTGTAGGTAGCCAGTCATTTTCAAAGAAATGAAAAATCATATTGGACTATTGTAAAACAACCACTTCACACCTAAGCGATAATTCCAGCAAACAAACAATAAAAAGGTTTAATGTTCAAACGTTTTCGGCCGTCTTTCAAAGGCCCTTGTCAGGAAAAATTGCATAGAACAGAAAAAACAGCTCTATCTTTAACAGTTTTTGTTTGGAACCATGTTCCTGTGCGCTAAGAGATTTCTTTCTCACCACCACACCTGACGTCCAGAGATTCCAATCCCAAATATTAGAGCTGATGCATATAATATGCTATTCTTCCTTTTTCTATTTTCATGGTCAAACTTACATCCAAAAAAGAGGAGTACCGATGGGTAGCCCTATCTCGGGATCTGTGCGAACTCGTCTTACGTAAATTAGAGGAAAGTCTTAGTGAGCTTACAACACAATATCCTTAGCTATACGTGGTATGTAGATGATATTTCGATTATATGGAAAACCAAACCTGATATAGGAGAGGTGTTAAAAGTTTTTAACAACAAAGCCTACGGCCTAACACTAGAATTAGATCAGGAAAGTCGCACAGAGGTTAGATACTTGGACGTCAAGATTAGTATGGCGAATAAAAATATAACCATATCTATTTAACGCAAACCCACATACATTCCCCTCTTTATACCTGCTAAATCAGCAGACCCTTGGCCTTTTAAGGTAGCGGCTTTCCGGGCTCTAGTTGCTAGGGCTTTCTCCCATTGCTCGGACACTTCTGATACACATATCGAACTGAAATGCATCAAGTCCATAGCATCTGCACACTGGTACCACCAGTCCTTAATAAACAGGCTCGATGCCAACCAGCTATCTACAATAACTACCACCAACACGAGGCTTAATGATGCAGAGTGCAAGCAGGTGGTTATATCAATAGCTTACGAACCGTCCTTCTAACAAATTTATAATAGAATTGCTAAGGATTTAAACTTGCACTTAACTTATAGGAGAAAACAGAACATTTTTAGAATCTTATCTAATGCAAAAGACAAGTCTGAGGACAAGAAAGTGCCAGGAGTGTACCGCATTCCATTGCAAGACAATCGTTTCAATAGGCGTATAACATATGTCGGGTCCACGTATCGGTCTCTAGAAGCTAGAATATGAGCCCACAAGTATGATGTGTTCAAGGGGAAGTATAATACTGCATACTAGCCCAGTATGCTACTGAACCCGGGGTTTCTCCTTGTTGGGATGAAGCTACGCTTTTACACAGGGCGTTTGACCGACACGACTTACGTTCGTTGGAGGCTATTGAAATTTTTATAGCGTGCATGAAGGAAGGTTGCATTAACTCCGACTATATTCCTGTTCCACAATCGTGGAAGTATTATTTACAAAGCCACAAAGCATAATTATGATTTTTTAAAGGAAACAATTTTTCCCTATCGCACATCGTTTATACATTAAAACATCGGGCTAACTTTTAACAATGAATATATTATTACCACCATATATATTATTTTATATATGAACACCATATATATTATTATTGTATTTATTTATAACTTTATTTATAAATATTTTAATTATATGTTGTAATACGTAACGATTTTTGTTTTCAACATCGTTTAAATGTTAAAAATTAGAACACAGCTATGTTCGAAAACTGTTAAAAAGATAGAACTGTTTTTCTATTCTATGCAATTTTTCCTGACGAGGGCCTCTGAAAGACGGCCGAAAACGTTTGAACGTTAAAATATTTTTGTTGTTCATTTGCTGGAATTATCGCTTAGATGTGAAGTGGTTGTTTTAGTTTATATTTCCAGTTTGTGGGCCAGTTTTTTATGTCTGCTTAAAGATTATCTTTTTGTAAAATAGCAACTGCACACCGGGTTGAATGAAATAAATACGACTTACATGAACCTATAACCGATGCGTATCCAATTAATCTATCATAGACGAACATTCTCATAACCCCTTCCGGGCTCTTCTTCAGGTGAAATAGCTGGATCGAACACCATAAAAAGGAAATTTGAATAAATCCAAACTCTGTTGAGTTTGAATCGTTCTTTTCGTTTGCTTGTTCCATCACGCGCTATGTTTGAAAGCGTTCGGAGCCAACGATCAATGTTCCAAGTCAAGAGAAAGATGTTATTATGATATTTAAAAACGTGCTTGTGCGATACATAATTATTTATTTAATGTTGTTCTCACACGTTCCCCTGTAGATTTTATTATATTTTAACACTTAGTAAATATTATTTCGTTGTTATTCTGTATGTAGTAGGTTTTGCCACGCCATGGATAGGCCGATTTCGTCCCTTGAATTAATACAAGTGGATGTGTCGTATGCCCTAAAAATTTCCATCTC